TGTATTTATTTATTTTTTGTTTTTATGAAAAATAGTTGTTGTTTTTTTTTGCCCCTCACATTTTGACGAATTTTATGCAAAGCAGGCAGACTGAAGCAGGTCCCTCATAAGATTGGATTTTGGAGACAAGACATATAATAATTTAAGATTGACTGGACCTTTCTCATGGAAAAATCTCCAAATAAAATTTATTTATGAACTTACATGAATCATCCACACCAGTTATTTGATGGAACATAACCATTAACCAGTTACAAATCAAGGCAATACACAGAGTAATGTCTGCTTTATTTGGACCCAGCCTTTCACATGCATTAGCATTATTATACTTAGACTTACAAACTGCTTGTCATTTTGTACATACAGGGTTTGTACAAAACAGAATTCCATTCAGTACAGCTCTCTAGACATTTCCATTTCTTAAAAGTGAAGCAGTGATAAAATTGCGCAACCACCAATGTTTCCTTACCTTTTCTGGACCAATCGTTAATGGACCTGGTGTATAATCTGTAGAGCTGACATCATTCACATCTCGTTACCTGCTCTTGACATGTTATATATGAATCCTTCTCTTCTTTCCATCTTAGATTGATGGTTCCACGCTGAGGACTATCTGTATGCAGCACGGCCCCCTGCTGACCTTCCACCTGGGCCTAACCCAGGGCAGCGCTCTGGTTCGATACAACAGCCGGCAGGAGGCAGCCAAGGCTCAGGGTGCTCTTCACATGTAAGTTTACCAGAATCCACAAATGCTACTGCAGATTTCAATAATCTGTAAACAGACTGTGTAATTTAATCCCAGTATAAATGAACCTATTCTATGACAAATGCAACACTTTTCACACCAATCTTAATGGTAATCCCAGTAACTGATTTGCAGTAAGGAATTCCCTTTTCATTTTAAAAATGTTCCATTTTGACTTCCTGGCAGGTGTGTTCTTGGAAACACCACCATCCTGGCTGAATTTGTGAGCGAAGAAGAGGTTGCACGCTATTTTGCACATTCCCAGGCCGAAGGGGCCAGCTCAGGAGGAGCAGCGGGCAACGGTGCGCCCAGCTCCTCTGGAACTGGCACCGCTGTGGCTAGCAGCGGGGGGAGCTCCCCTGGGAGTGAGCGGCCTGCGGTGGGCACGTCTGCAGCCGGAGGCGGAAACGGAAACGCCGGAGGGGAGAGGGCGTCCGGCTCCGGATGGCAGAGCCTCGACGGTACGGGCGCTTCTTCAGAAACGGCTCCAGCCCAAGGACCGGGGCTTGCGATATTTTCCCAGTGGAGCACCAACGGGGCTGGAGAAGGGAGCGTCGGAGGAGTAGAGAGCGGGAGGTCTGGATTGTGGGGGGGCATAAACGCCGGATACCCGAGCAGCAGCCTGTGGGGAGCACCGCAAATGGAGGAAAGGCACCAAATGGACAGCTCGGCTGGACTGTTGCCTGGCGACCTGTTGGGGGGAGGGGCCGACTCCATTTGATGAGCCCTCTCCACGAGTACGATCGGATTCGAACACACTGATAGGGCATACACTGGGATACATATGTACTTAATATGGCACACACACATTTACATAATATGCATATTGATGTACTGAATACATACCCATGCATACGTATACTAGTATGCATATTAATGTGCACACACCTTAAAGCAGAAATGTGAGACATGCTTACACACATTCTCATGGCCAGACTTAAGCTATTATATAAAAAACAAATGCAGGGACTGTTAGATGTGTATTCAGCCTTTTTTTTCCACACATGAAGATTTCAACTGCTTAGACTTGAAAACCTGATAAAGAATGAAAAAGAGTCAGTGAGTCTTAAAGACTCGACTGGATTGCAATGTGCTTAGTAAGTAGGGGACTTTTTAAACCGATTTACATGAAACATGCACACACCAAATACAGAGAAGCCTTTCAGACAGACAGGCACTGTAAACAGCATTACCTTCGTCATATAAGAGAACACTGAGGCCAGGGGGCGGAGTTTGTATTCACATCCCCTTAAAGACAGAGATTGAATCCAAACACATGCAAACAGCTCTGATTAAGATCAGGGTTGTATCTTACTGTGTATGTCATTTTTTTTTCTCTTCCTGTTTTGTTTGGATGTATGGTTTAATTTTTGAATAGTGAAATTCTGAAAAAAAAAAAAAGTCATTGATCTGTTTTCAAAATGCTGACCTCCTACTGTTGTATCTCACGCACTCTTTGTTTTATTATTTTCTGTTATTCGTTCTTGAACATGTTTGTTACTGTTGCAGTGATACATGTTTAATCGCTGGCATTTTCAGGCTACGATGCATTTCTCCACGTGTCGATGCTGCGTGCAGCGTCATACACATTATGAGTATGAGTGAGACTGAGACCAAGTAAGTGGATTAAACCACCGCAGTCGCTGTGCATGTGTGTGAGAATGTGACGACGATGTGTGCATGGGTAATGCCTGTCATAATGTGGGCAAGGCTGCTTACTTATACAGAAGGTCTATACAAAAAAAAATGTTATACGAGTGCATTTGGTTTTCTGCTGACTGTGTTAAAGAAATATTGGCACTAATGCTTTTTTTTCCTTTCATTTGAAGTGTTTTTTAGTAGATATGTCTTTTTTTATTGTCTGACCTGCAATAATAGAAAAAAAACAACATTTTAATCACACAAAGAGCTGAAGGCATATGCGTTGAGAAAATGGACATGCCAAATCTTATCAAACTGTGTGCAGTGGGAGGGGAGGGGTGGGGCGGGTTGTTTACAGATACAGTGTAAGCGTTACCGTTCGTTTTTAATGGTTTGTTGTTGTGTATTTGTTTTAAATTAAGACAGGCTTTAACACTCCTGTTCAGTGTTTTCGTTTTGAGATTTTACAGAAGAAAAATTTATTTAAACAATGAGAACAAGATTAATAAAGATGAAAGTATTGGCTTCTAAGTTTTCCGTCTCTTTTTTTTTATTATTTCTAATGTGAGAACACTTTGGTCATAACTTTTCATTTATCTGGGCTATAAAGTTATATTTTGTTGCAATTAAGATTGAGTGATTATTCAAGGAATAATCATTTTAAACCAAGAATTGGGTGAATTCCATTTAATTTTTATAAGACGTTTGGCTGCAAAACTTACAAAATCTTATCTATCAATATATCGTAAGCATCAACGATATAACAATTAGAATATTATTGTTCAAAATGTACATGTCAAACTACTAAGTTCTGAGTTTGATTCCTGGCCCGGTGTCTTTCTGCATGGAGTTTGCGTGTTCTCCCTGTGCATGCATGGATTCTCTCCAGGTACCCCCGGCTTTCTCCCACAGTCCAAAAAAACACATGATTGTTAGGTTAATTGGCTTCTCTAAAGTGTCTTTAGGGTGAGTGTGTGTGTGTGAATGGTTGTTTGTGTTACTCTGCAATAGACTGGTGACCTGTCCAGGGTGTGCCTCGCCTCTCGCCCATAGAGAGCTGGAGATAGACACCAGCACCCCTCGCGACCCCAGCAGGGATAAGCATGACTGAAAATGGATGAATGCAAATTAATTTTTTCTGTAATTAAGAGACTAATATTACAGGCTGAAGCATATACATACACCGTAATATTTACATAAGACTGCCTTGACAGAATATGAAGTGTTCATGTCTGTTGGTTAAGAATAGCTCAATAGAGCTGAGGGCAAAATGTTTGTTCTACATTATCCATCCATTTTGATGTTTCTTTTTAAAATGTCACTTGCTAATTTTCAATTTTTGAATGCAAGAAAGTGATTTGGCAAACGGACGCATTGTCAGATAAGACAAAATATAAGGGGAAAAAATACCTTTAAAGGAGTAGAAGTGGTGGGAGCATCATGGTGTGCTTTTTTTTAAATTCCACTGGTATTGATCATCGTTCAAAGTAAATTAATTTTTAATATTATTTCAATTCGGCAGAAGGTTAATACTCAAATGCTCCAGGAGAATGAATACAACTGGTTTTAGAATTTAAAAAGGCCAGTGTTTTTTTTCTGTGTTTTCAGTGTTTTTTTGTTTTTTTTTTTCAGAGATGTCATGATACAACTTTTTAATTCATGATAGGATAGCAATTTAGCTGCTTTTTAGTATTGATTGATATATCAGCAGAAATCATGCACACTTTTATTAATTACGTTATAGTAGGGAATGACAGAAAAGGCTTAATGAGGTGATGTTTCTCAAACAGGGAACAATACTTAACATCAAATATGAGAAGTATTTCTTTGGAATGGGCCTTTGAAAAACCAAAACTTCAGTCCTGATTTCTGGCAGATTATTTTTTAAGGCAAAATAAAAAAAAAAAAAAACATGTTTATTATTTATTATTTAATTTCCAAAAAATTTATGTTTATTCTATTCTATACAATTTTCTAAGGAACAGTTATTTAAATATAAGTGAGACTGCATAATTTAAGTCTTAGTATAATTCAGAGCCAATGTGGATTAGAGAATAACATGGATTAATTTATCAGTCCATTTTCTATGATTTCAGCTCTGCCTTCTAAAAATAACCAAATGCTTGAAGGCCCAAAAATGACTCTCACACTGGTTTTTTTTTTTAATTATGAGCCAGACACATTTGAAATTACCCTCTTGTTTAGTAGCAATGACATGGACATTTTGAACAGTATTATTTTGAATGTTATGTTGTAGATCCTAATGATATATTGAAAAGATTTTGTATGTTTTGAAGCCAATGGTCTTAAAAGAATCAAGCCATGTTTTTTACTTTCATATTACCATCATCACACTAATCCAATTTAAAACCAACGTCATTCTACACTCATCAGTGGCTTACAGTTAAATATTTACAAGCTAAGCAGAGATTAATTTCTTAACAAGATCTATCATTTAAAATCTATGCTGTTAAAGATGTTTAACCGAATAAAGGACACATTTAATGAATGGCCAAATTAAATAAAGGTAAGTGTAGAAAGTCGTGACGTTTCTTCAATGTTGGTGACATCATTGACGTTGTGAGCACGTAGGCCCTTATATACCAAGTGGAGGGGAGGCGGACTAGAGTAGAGAACGGCCGATTGTGCTGCTGGAGCTTCGTAGGGACTGTCAGCAGGGAGCGCAACCGACGACTGAGCTTAGAGCTGGGGGTATGAGAGCTGTCATAATCCGCTCCCATCTTCCTCGGGTCGGTCTCCTGTCCGACTGACAACCATCGGATCAGAAGCTCCACTTAACCAGCTGTCGGACCAACCCGATATCGTGTGAGTGTTGGGTCGGAGAAGCAGTTAAACAGAGGGGGAAAAGGGACCAGATTCGACCGAAGCGGAGTCCCCTATTCAGGGCTTACAGGAGAGGGGGAGGGGGCAAGTAGTAAAACTGGCTCTCTACGATGGTCGGTGTGTAAGGGTGCGATTGTATATCATGTATAAACCGATGTTAAATGAATTGCAATATTTTTTATTTTATTTTATATAGAACCCGTTAGAGAGTACGTACAATTGTTCTGGTAACGTAAATCTACTAGCTTAGTGATAGCGGCTAACGGCCAACTTACGCTAAATCCTGTGGTTGTAATTCCAGCGTAAACTAGTTAAAGCCTGTGTAAGCCATTTAGACTTTTCATAGTTTTTGTCACATTATTGTTTACGTGTCTTTATTTTTATTTTACAAATAATCTCGCAGTACTCTGTCACACGGAAGGAAGGAAACGTTGATTTGTACCGATACCGTGACAGAACAGTCGTCTTTTTTTTAACGTAAAGGGAGGAAAATGCGCACAAAGTGTGGCAGACATCAAATTTAAGACAAAGTTGTTGTTGTTTGTAGTGACAGCTGTGAGGGGCGTAACCTTAGCAGTGTTCATGTGATTGCGAAATAACATGGTTCTGGGGCACCATTTTTTATTTATTTATTTAATTTAACAGCTTTATTGATACATTTTTGCATATACACGCACCTAACCAAAGTTATGTGATGGGTGCACATTTCTAAATACTTACCATTTTATTGTTTAGTGAGTCACCATAAGGTATTAAATTCTAGTATTCCACTTCCTGAGAACATCATGTCTTCACAGCTACTACTAGACTCCCCTTAAACCAGCAGATGTGTGCTGTACCAATCCACTCTCCTGGAGACGATTACTACTGTTACAGCACATGTTGTTTTTCCAGTGCAGTGTGACAGGCTAATTCCCATTGCTTCGTGTTACACGTACGCCATCTCTGCAACTCAAATAATAATTTTACCTAAATCTGTAAGCTTTTATACAAACTACACATGCATGATCATAATAATGTACAGTAATAGTGTTTGCCTGTTCCTGAACTGAGCCCTTGCTTTTTATTTTTGTGATTTTTAGTCTTATTTGTTGAATCTGGTCTTTCATCACAACACAGAGCCCCAGTTTTGGGTGCAATGACCCAAACCTTTTATTGACCCTGATCCATCTGCGTCAGTTACGTCTAACATAGTAAGCTGTTTTCATCAGGTCAATTACAACCCAGTTTAGCCATTTGAAATGTTGTTGCCCATCTGCTGTGGGTTTGTGTGATGATGGTCACAGTGCATGCAGTTTATCCCCTCGCTCATAATCAGAGTAGTCTTAAAATCAATTATTGTATATTCCTTACCCAATAGTGTAAAATAAATTTTTCTTACTTTTTAAAATGAAGCCTAAGACTTACATCTTTATTGTCATTTCTTATACACGGTGTATAAAAAACAAAGTTTTGATACATACAGCTTTTAGACAGTGAATGAGCAGGTTGGCAGTGAAATGAACATTTCCATGTATGAAGTGCAGCAGTGATCAACATGTAAGGAGTGTGGGAGAGACCTGGTGTAAAAGGCATTGATGTGGAAGATTTAGAGCAAACGTAGGAGCAAAAGAAATGCATGAAATGGGTCAAATTGAAAAATCCACCCTAAACATTGCTGATTACTAGAACTGTATACATTTTTTAATAAACAGCTCTGACTGGTGGTTAGTCTTAAAAGAAAAGTCAAAGTGAGTTTTATACTCGAGTGAGAGACATTTATTTATATATTTAATATGGTAGTACAATGGAAACAAATTTTCCAAGGTTTTTTTTGCTATCAGATAGTTGAAAGGGCTAAATATGTATAAAAGCAGTCCGTTGGTCTATCAGGACCAAGTCCAGTTAGAAAATGTAGATTTGGAATTATCATGGAAGTATTATTAGACTTGATGGTAAGTACACAGACTATTGTGTACTCTACTAAAGATGCTGACCATACTATTAAGTTGAAATCGCTAAACTGGGTCAAATTTTAGCTACAGCGATCTTTAAAAATCTGATCCTCACACAAGTGAAATGACATCACCTCTGATTCCAATATAAAACAATTGCCTATTAATTGCAGTTGAGGTAGAAATACATTTGGTTTTCAGTCCTTGTGACAAATCTGAAACCACAAAATTTTCTAGGTGAAGGCTTTAAGAAAACTAGTTAAGGTTATTATTTTTTTCAATCAGTAATGTAAAGCGCATAATCTTGATGATATTTTAGCATTTTAACAGCTTATCAGAAAGCTATATGGCACTCTGATGGGTTTGATGTTGCAAATGACAAGCTGTTGCCTGTAATACCACTCTGCCTAGGTGGAGACAATAGTTTACATGGACAGATGTTGAAGTAGACTGTTAACATTTTTGATTTTATTTTTGCCGTCGGCTAACATTAAAGGTTGACTACTACAAGTATTTGGGTTAGACAAAAAAGATTAGAAATTAAAGAAATGAAGTCATATTCTTATGACTATTCCCATAATATTACCATTTTTATAATACGAGATAAAAGTAGTAATATTGAGACTTTATTCTCGTAACTTCTACGTGATTTAAGTGATGATAGAACAAAGTGGTTGGATTATTAGTAGTTTCAGAAAAATTTTTTCGGACAATATCTGACCTGCGCAAACTACCAAACAGCCATTGGCACTCTGTTTAACATAATGGCGTAATAATTTTATGCCGGTATGAAGGTATAACTTAACAAGATTCTCAACAGTCCTCATGTCAGAGCAGGGGACAACAGTGCAAGAGTTATCATTAAATATTGACTTTTTTTTCTTGAAATATTGCAACATTGATCTAATAATCTTATGATTTTGCAACATTGTATCTTCTCAGAATATGACTTTATTCTCATTTATCTGCCATTTTATTTTTTTATGATATTAGAACCTGTCAAAAATTAGATTACCAAGTCTGGCCCTAATACTTTGTCGTAGGTCCTGGACGTGTACTGTGACTAATTAAAAAGACGCATACAAAGTGTTTGTTTTGCTGGTGTTTACCAAGCCCTTTCTTAACCTAAGAATAATTTTTGCACCGAGTGAAATCAACAAGGATAAATATTATTGCGCAGTATCTGTTCCGCAGAGCTTTCAACAGTGTCCGTATCTGAAATGTAATTTACAGTTTTTAATTCTAAAAGGCAATTAGTCATCTTATGAACTACTTGTTTCCATAATAAGAGCTTGAAAACAGCCTTGATTTCATTAGTATCGGTATTGGTAAGGCTATGTACTCCTGCATCAGTCAATTTGGTAATGAAAGCTGAATGCCTCTGCATCTTTAAATCCTACTTCAGAGAACACCAATCAGCGGTTGGGTACCACCCATTTGTTTCTACACCACATCTTGGACTTTCTTTTTTTTATTTTATTTTATTTTTTTCTCCACAACTCTGCTAAAGGTCACTGACTCCCTTGGCTCATATGTATGCAATATTAAATCTCAAGTCATGTAGCTAGTGTTAGAGAAATCAAGTATGTTTTCTAAGAAGTAGAGCAAATGCAAATAAAAAAAAGAGATTTTAACAAAGACAGCGTTGTAGTTTATTCAGAAGACCTTAGTATGCAACTAGTGTTCATTGCTGGTGTACATACAGTATTTGGAAAGTCGTAGTACATCACTGGGTCCCTTTAAGGCAAATATAAAACTAACTCGGACATTAGGTCATTCATGTTACTTCAGGGCAGCCATGGAAAAAAAAAAACATTAAAGTCTCCTCCAGCCTCATTCTTAAAAGCAGGGTCAGATGCATCATATTAGATGACTTATAAAACGCTTTGTCTGAAGTCTGTGTTGCATCAACTAGTCATAGCAAACAGACCAAACTTATGCAACCAAAAATTGTGAAACATTTAGCTATACTAAATGCATAATCAAAGGACCACTAGCTTTAAGCTTTCATTTATCTATTAAGCGTGTAATGTATCTATGAGGACAAATTAAAGACTGATTAGCAGTTACCCTTGTATAGGTGTGATCTCGTTTTTGACTTTGAGTCTTTTGCCTTCCTTCTCTCTCTAATCCCATTTTCTATCTGACAACCTTCAAAAATGATCAAATAAAGGCCTACAAATTATCTTTAAATGGTATCTTTACTTTTCACGAGCTACTAAATTACCAAATTACATGGAAAATGTTTTTGCCTTATTTTCAGGGTTTGTTTTCTTATAGCTCCTGATAGATGATGCAGCACCTTGGTTTCTACCAAAGAGAGGTACTATATTTTATCCAGATTAGGGCTGAAACAATCAATTGTGGCTAATCAATATGATCGATAACTAATTTAGTAATCTATTAATTGTTACCTAGATTATAGATATTTTAAAACATACTTTTAGCTGAAAAAGCAACCCACTCAGCTCAATCATTATACCAAAATTGTAAAAAATGTATAAACATCTAGCATTTTTAAGATTGAAAACACTTTTGTCCATTAATGTACTCTATCCAGAGTATATTATTACTCTATCTAAGGGCTAACTTTGCTTGAATTTTGTGTGTAATGTTCTTTAAGGAACCTTTTCCATCCGATGATAAATCAAGAAAAGAATCAACAGATTGATTAGCAAAATAACTGTTAGTTGCAACCCTGATCCAAATTTTTATATATATATATATATATATATATATATATATATATATATGACTCATTCCATGAGCCACAGACAGTCTTTATCTTAAGTCTATTTCTAATAATTCAACCAGAGAAAAGCATTTTTAGCAGTTGCTTTGCACTTCAATAAAATAAAAAATATTTTTGAGCAACAGTTTAAGTAAGTATATTAAAATGATAAAGGTTTAAGTGTTTATTAATTACAGTCTGATGTTTTTGTTAAATACTTCCTTTCGGGTTGTAATCTCTGTTTGGTAATATTTATATTTACTGGGTGTGATTAGTTGGTTGTCCATCCGAATGTATTTGCAGGGAGTATGATTGGATAAAATTATCTTTGATTGGCTGCTGGTGTAGTTTGTTTACAGACAGTTAATCTGGTTGTGAGCAAAGAGATGGAACAGACAGCACTCAGCTAGTGTCAAGTCAAGAGGGTCCATGTCGATCACGCACAGGAAAGATTCTCAGCACGGACAGTAAGAGTCGAGTTGATGCAAAAGAGGAGTGGCGGAGCAGTTTTAGAAGGTTGAGCACGCCCCATACATGTGTTTAGGGAGCGCATGTGAGATTTAAATACTGCACACTCTGGTCGGCAGCACAAATAATATGCCATATTATTTTTTTCTTTGCGTTCTCTTGTGTCTAAAAGCAGATGCAATCAAGACAGTGGCTTGGTTTTATTTTCTGAATAAAACTAGAAAACGTTTGGCGCCTTTGTGCCTTGTCTTGTTTAACGAGATGATTCTGAGGTATTCAGACTTTGGCTAATTTACCCATTTATTCCAGGAGCTGCCTAGTTTGACAACCTGCTGAGCCACATTGGTTTTTGCATCTTTTAGGACACTATAACAGGTGCTTGATTTCTGCTGAAAAACGAAGCTGAGTTTCTTTGCTGGGTCGATGCACTGCATCAGCCTCATAAAGTTCAGGCTTCCCAATTCCTGCTTCAGATGTTTAATCTCAAAACATAGGGCACCTGACTGTTGAAACAAGTTTGCGGTATCCCTGGACGCCTTGGGTCACATTTCCAGTGTAGACTTTCCTTTAAAACACTCAAATCACCTTCGATTTGAACAAATAATTTTGACTCTGGCAGAGATTAGAAATCTGTTAAAATGATTCCTTACAGAAAGTAGGAGCACCCATTCAGCTCCATCCCCATCATCTGCATAATCTGCAGCTAGTATAATAAAACTAGAATAATCCAAATTGAAATCTCAGGCTCTTAGTGGAGTCACTTAGAATGAACAGGATTAGATGTATAAAATGTGTGCTCAATTTCCTTGAGTTAGCCTCAAAGTGCACTTGTTTTGTTTTGGAGCTCTTGGGTTTTAGAAACTGTATAGTTGGATGAATTGAACCCACCTTCATTGGTGCATCACAGGCCTTAATAAAGGGGATAAATTGCATGTACTTGTATTTTCCCATTTATTTGCAGACTCTGTGCTGCATCCTGAAAAGGCTTAACATGGTTCCCAAATTAGTGTTGAGCAAACTAAGTCTAAACAAAGCTATTCTGCAGCTCTGCTTCCCGGAGTTCATTACTGAGGACAGTCTGAGAGCTTTGACACAGATACATTCAGCCAGTGGCTGCGGCTGCTCATGCCTCCTTTCCTTTGGCGATGCCAGCCCAGAGCGCCACAGAGCTTAGCCTTGCTTTTTCAGTGGCTGCTCAGTGTGGCGTGGTCGAGGAAGCACTAAATAAGTGATGAATCCGCTCTGCCCTCACGTGCAGCTTAGTAAAAAAAAAAAAAAGAGCTTAATTTCTTCATGCATTTAAAGTCCTTGTACTTGTTGAGTTCCTCTCATTTCCCTTCAATGTCAAAACAGCCATTTTTACATTACCCCCCTCTCTTCTGCTGAGTTCAGACCAATCCCCCATCCTGCAACCCTCTAGAAAAATCATATTTTCTTAATGGAGTCTAGACGAATGTTTTCTGCTCAACTGGAGGTGCTAACTGGGTGATTCTTCACATAAACATGTGGTCAGTTCTGCCAAGATAATTTATCATGAGCATTCTGTCTCATGGCATTTAAAGAGAAAATAACAGTATAAGTTTAGTTATTATATACAGATATATATATGGGTATAGAATTTTTTTTGTTTTTTTTTACAGCTGAAAGCTTTTTTTTTTAAACCTGTCAAATATATATCTATATACATTTTTGGTGTGAAAGGAATAAGACATATGAGATTAAAAGTATGCTTTTTTTTACTTGGCTCTTAGATCTGCATTGTCTGTTGATGACAGTGGCACCTTGCAACCATGGAGCTGAGAGTGGGGAACAAATACCGGCTGGGGCGAAAGATAGGGAGTGGATCCTTTGGAGACATTTACCTTGGTAAGCGGAAAATTGGATGATATAGCTATTCTTCCCACATGAATGCACTTGCAGTCACTTCTTCTATCCTAACATTAGCTTCCTTTGTTTGTCCGGACAGTGAAATAGATCTTTGATCAGGTCTTACATGTTATTCTACATGTTCCTTACAGATGTGATTATTTTTGTACGCTTCTCCTCAGGTGCCAACATTGCAACTGGTGAGGAGGTAGCCATCAAGCTAGAATGTGTGAAGACCAAACACCCACAGTTGCACATTGAAAGCAAATTCTACAAGATGATGCAGGGAGGAGGTAAGAACCTCCAGCTTTGACACGCTTGTCAGAGATTCTCATTTCTTGCATTCCTTCTCAGATGTTTTCTTGGCAGTATATTTCCCATGCAGATATCCTGCCAGACCTGACTCTTGTAAGAAATCGGGAAACCTTAAATTTTCTCCAACATGTTGCAGATTTAAAATACAGGGATAATGATAACAGGTGTGTCTATCAGGCTTCTTTTCAGTCTAGAAAAATCGGTTTCCTTGAAAGAATGTTTCACATATTTTATTTTTTGATACCACTGAGCCTTACTGAAATACCAGGACATTTTATATTACAATCAGAAATATAAAATGAAACAGTTTAACATGAAAGTATCATAAGTAATTGCAAAATACAGCTGCTGTTCTCCAGCTTATTTATAATGTTGTAACTTCAGCTTAATTTTTTTTAAGTTGCCATTGGTAATTAAAGTGGCAAAATTGTAATTTCTTAGTTGATTCTAACTGTATGTTTTACAGACTTTCTTTTTTATTTTTTTTAAAGGTCTGAGTTAAATCATGTATTTAAAACCGCTAATGTTGACGCTCCAATAGTCCGACAGGTTTTAACTGATGTCAGACACCAACACACACGTTTTAACATAAGGTCTGCTTTCTGGGTGATTAAACTCACTAGATCAAATATGGTGTGCTGTTAGTTTGAAGAAGCAGGTTTATTTAGAAACAACAACATTTAAAGGGGCTTGATTTAGAAAAAAAAATTAGCAGTATATTTACTTATACCCTTTAGGATCAGCTGACATCAGCCTATCATTGTAGTTCCTGTTTATCGAGGAAGTTTGCCTTATGTACACTTAACTCCCGATTAGAAGTCATCCCATGCTGGGGCTTCCTCTTTAGTTTTATCTTTCACTATCACAGACTTCCTCAATGTCCAGTCAATGGCATTTTTAACTTTTTTTATTTCCTGCAGTAGGCGTTTTCATTGAGAAAAGGCTGCCTCATAGTATTATTTTATTTATGGGGGGTCACAATAGTAATAGAAACCTCCAAGTTTCTGTTAACATGGCAGAGGATTTGTTTATACCAGTGATGTATAAACACTAGATGCTGCTGTTGATAAGAAATCACAGCTGCAGATAAGAAAGGTTTTACTAGAAACTAAATCTTTAAACGCAAGGAATAAAATGGGTAAAACATTTTCACAGCTTTAATCAAGTTTGATAGACTAATTAAAGCATTACTGAAACAATTTAAAAATGCATTAGTATAACTTAATACAGCACTGCTGCTTAACCCTAGATATTCTCAGTTTCTTGCTGTTTGAATTGGTGTCTCTGACCAGAATCTTGTCTTGATCATCTATGTTTGTGTTTGACCAGTTGGTATTCCATCGATAAAATGGTGTGGTGCGGAGGGAGACTATAACGTCATGGTAATGGAGTTGCTGGGGCCCAGTCTGGAGGACCTTTTTAACTTCTGCTCCCGGAAGTTCAGCCTAAAGACTGTCCTGCTTTTGGCGGACCAGATGGTATGATACAAACATGACATCCAGCCAGTTTAACAGCGTGCATGTGAAAGAGTTATTTTCAATCCCTGTAGAGAAACATGATAGGGGCGACCTTTACTGCACCGAGTCAGTGCGTATTCTGTGTGTAAACATTGTATACTGTTCCATTAAAGCCTCTTTTAAAGATTAGAGATGTTTTAATCTCCTGTCCTTGCTACTGCCAGTGTAGTTTCTGATGAGTGCCCAGCCTTACAATGGGTTGACCTAGATACTGCATATCGTAGATCAGACTCTTGATTCACCTTTTGTCTGACCTGCAGCCAAGGTTGCTTTATCAGGCTTCAATACAGACGTCTGATTAGCTGCTTTTCAGCCTTGGCTCATGGCTTCTGCTGCTGTCAGTCTCTTCTATTTAAGGCGCATCTTATAAATGTGACGTTGTCACTAAATATTTTCTTCTGATGTGAATCTCATTCAAATCCAGATTAGTCGCATCGAGTACATCCACTCCAAGAACTTCATCCACAGAGATGTCAAGCCAGATAACTTCCTTATGGGGTTGGGCAAGAAGGGCAACCTGGTGTACATCATCGACTTTGGGCTGGCCAAAAAGTACCGCGATGCACGCACGCACCAGCACATCCCTTACAGGGAGAACAAGAACCTGACCGGAACGGCACGCTACGCCTCCATCAACACACATCTTGGAATTGGTAAGATTTGGTCGAAAGATAATGGTTGTATTTTTACTTGGTGGATGGAGCTAAATATCTATCAACAGAGAATGAAATCAAAGGAAAATGAGGCTTTGTTAGTTCAACAGGAAATTCCTGTGTCATTCTGCAAGGGATTGACTTTGTATTTAATCGTGTTAATCCAAGCAAAGGATTTGAAAAAAATTCAACTATGCAATCACTGTTATTCAATCATGAAGTACTACTTATTTAATAAAATCTAAACGAATTGTATCAAAATGGCAATTTCCTTATTTTTAAGCTTCTTTGATAATTTTGTATTTTTATATTGTCAGCTAGCCTTTAAGCTAACTCCATTTGTTTCTAATTTGGCAGGTTTTACTTCTCTTTCATTCATATGCATTTGATGCTTTATGTCCACAGAGCAGTCAAGACGTGATGACCTGGAGTCTCTGGGCTACGTCCTCATGTACTTCAACCTGGGGTCCCTCCCCTGGCAGGGCCTTAAGGCTGCAACAAAGAGACAGAAGTATGAGCGAATCAGCGAGAAGAAAATGTCCACACCAATCGAGGTTCTTTGCAAAGGCTATCCTTGTGAGTCCTTTTATTTCTCCTCGTTTTTTTTCTCACATCATCCACAGATGCTGTATTTGCTTTGTTCTGCAAAGAATGCAACTGGGGCTCTAGTGGATCCTCTGCTAACTTCTGGTTCTGATGATTCTTCTTTCTACAGCGGAGTTTTCCACTTACCTGAATTTTTGCCGCTCACTCCGTTTCGATGACAAACCTGACTACTCCTACCTACGCCAGCTTTTCCGGAATCTCTTCCACCGTCAGGGATTCTCCTATGATTACGTCTTTGACTGGAACATGCTTAAATTTGTATGTTTTTACTAAAAGCTTTTGGTAGTGGTCATTTTAACCTTTTAAAATTAACACGGCTGATCACATTTATCAGGGCGCCAGTCGAACAACTGAGGATGGGGAACGGGAAAGGAGGACAGGGGATGAGAGAGAAGATCGGATAGGAGGGGCCCCCAGGGGCTCTGCGTCACGGGGCCTCCCCTCAGGTCCCACCCAAGGCGCTCCTAACAGAGTCAGGAATGGACCAGAACAAGCCATCTCAAACCCTGCCTCACGGGTTCAACAGTCTGGTACGTTGCTGACCAACAGAGTCTGATTTTTAAAATGTTAAATTTTGAGGAGAAAAAAAAGGGAAATAACTTTGTCGGCAGCATTTTTTTTTAGCTCATTCAAAGTGTCTAATTGATCTTTTCCAGGCAACACGTCGCCACGTGCAATATCTCGCGCTGAGCGGGAGAGGAAAGTGAGCATGCGTTTACACCGCGGGGCTCCTGCCAACGTATCATCCTCTGACCTCACAGCGCGTCAAGACCAGTCGAGGATATCCACGTCACAGGTGAGCTGAAGTTAGGATGTCTTCAGTGGGTTAAATATTTGAATAACATAATCTATCTTTTTCAATTAACACATTTTCTAAAATCCTTTGGAACTTTTTATTAACATTTATATATGTTATAAAGATACTTTAATGGACAACGTGGAAACGTTATGTGGATTGTTTCAATTATTCAACTGTTCTGGGATCAGCCATTACCTCCAACATCTAATGATAATCTAATTGGCTGTTAGATATAACCACTATTATTTGGCCAAATATTTTTTTTTCATCTCTAAGTTCTCTGCATTTGGGAACCACACAGCTACAAACCTCAGAATGTTTTACTGGGATTTTATGATAATCAGTATTGTTTGATGTGATTGAAAATACACTGACCTCTGAAGAAAGCTAGCTAATAAACATTTCACCTACTCTTGGATTAAATGCAACAGTTAGTTTAAGCCCCTCTAGATGTTATCCTAAAAAAGCTGTGCAGTTTGCATTATGAGAAAAAGTCAAACAATTTTCTAGATTTGAAGATCCTACAGAGCTGCTGAAGTTCAGTCCATTGATACCACTGAGCAGAAACAACCAGGAAGCCCCGATATCTGGAGCTCTCAGATCCTTAACTCGCAGTAAATAGACTCTTCAACATCAGCTGAATGATATTGGCACTTTTTTCATGTTTGGCTATCGCCTGAAGGCGAATATCATGTGATGCACATGTATTGTTACTGCCTCCATTTGCTTTCCTGTGTTAAACATTTATGAGCAAATCAAAGAAATTATTATTTCCTTTTAGATTTGTGTATCATTTGTTATCATGGTGTCAAAGCCATATCAGCCTAAAGACTAAATCTAAAAAATTGGCAGCATAGGGGAACAGATGGATTGATGTCAAAACAATCTGCCCAAAAATCTGGGTTTTTTTGGAAGAGTTGTGTGAAACCTATTATTGAAAGAAGTAAAACATGGTGGTGGCTGCAGCATGTTTTGCAAAAACAAAAATTTGTCTGTGTCCAACTTTGTTTATTTACCAATTTACATAGTGGTCTTATTATCGATAAGAACAATGTCAGTGTCTCTACATGGCGCTGGTGAATAGACAGCGCAGCTGCAAAATTTCAATTCTCAGTGTTTCTCATTAATGAACGAGACTGGCGGCCCGCCACTGGTCTTATACAGACACACAGAGAGAGAGATGGTCAGTGGCGGTTCTACTCCCCGGGCGAGACCCACTCTAAGCGCCAGTTATATTTTTTTCGAAGCATGTTTCCCACCCTCCTTTATAAAAATGCTGCCTGGTTTACCCGTGCAGTGTTGCCAACTCAGCGTTTTTTGTCGCTATATTTAGTGACTTTTCACATCCCTCCTGCGACTCTTTTTTTTTTTTTTTTTTTATATCCACTGGCGACAAATCTAGCGAGTTTTTCTGGTGTCACTGGCGGCTTTTGGAGACTCCTACGTGAAAGCACGTATCGTTCCTACTCTTGTCCTGCAGCGGCAGGTGCTGCTGCGGGGGCGCTTTTTTTTTACATTGGCCCCTTGATTTTAGGTTATCACATGATGATCTAAAAAAAAAGCGGAGTGTGTATGATGTCACCCGCGCATGCCGGCATCCGTTCATTCTGAACTCCTGCTAGTTTTACTCATGCCTGGAAGATGTCTAGTGCTACTGCCACAGATGATGTCATAAACACTCCGCTTTGTTTTAAAAAAATAAATATAAAAAATAAAACTGCGGATGTCTGGGGGACAGTGATTCGCCTACATGTTATGAATGCTGGCGAATTATAAATGATAAATTATGAACAGTTTAGTTTGTGCCTTCAAGTCGTTGCCCATAGGAAGATGTTACTTGGATATAACCTAACGGAATATCTTCAGAACAGCTCCAAATGACACAAAACTTTTATGGATGAGTAGGACATGATGTAATAACGTAAAATCAAGTGCCCAATGTAAAAAATCGGTGTTCCCCTTTAAGTGGGATGCACCACGCTTAAAAATGTGCACACATGAAAACCCCTGAGGGTCAGAGACTCTCCCACCACACTATTTTGCAGAATGCAGCAAATGCAGCAGCAAGATGGCAGGACATTTTTTTGAAATCACATTTTCTTTCCATAGACTTATTATTTATAAATAATTATGAATCAATTATAGAGCTGTATATATGAACATAGGTAATCAAAAGCTAACGATTAAACATTAAATGCACTCAACCTAATAATCCATTGTATAATAGAACTGAAAATATCTGGATGTCCAAAAATTAAAAGTGACAAAGTTTCAACGGTTTTAAATCTAACGTAGGAGCGTTGTGGTCTGACCTCCAGGCTGCTCACAGAGCTTTAATGTGAGATCTGCTTGCTACTGCGGGCTTCACACTGCAGTGGAGCGGAGACGTTTGCAGCTGAGCTGGACGAACTATAAATTGGGTGTTAAAATCTTGAATCTGTGTTGTTGCAGGTCAGCGTGCCATTCGAGCACATGGGGAAGTGAATTTCCTCAGCTCTTCATGCACAGAAAATGACAGGTAAAGTCTGGACTCACATTTCGTCTTTGTTTATAAATGTATAAACAGTCTGATACCAATCTTTTGTTTTGCAGGGCTGCAAGGATTTTTTTTTTCTCTCTCTACACCTTTCTTTTCCCCCTGTACTTTATACCTTCTTTCTTGAAAAGGTTTTTTTTTTTTGTAAATGGACATGCAGGTTGTTTGGAGCAAGACCTTAAATGTTTCAAGGATTCAGGAAAACACATGAAGGTATTCAACATGCATTCTGACCCGGACCGTTCTTACTAAACGTAGGATCACCACAAAGCTAACGACAATGCTGCACCTTGACAGTTGCTCATTCCTACACTGTATGTTCCTCAAAACATTCCCTTAATACTTTGACAAATGTGAAAAGGCTGTTGGCATTGAAGGAACAAAAAAAAAACATTTCAGGGACATGCATGTTTCTTATCAAAGGTGACGTACAGGCTTTGTAGGTTTTTTTTTTTTTTGTTTTTTTTTTTTTTTCAGTTTTAGCACAGCAAATGTAACTGTTATCTTCATTGTTCATAAAGGTTTATTAGAAGGAAGGTTGTTTTTTCCTTTTTTATTTGATGTTTTTAAGAATTGAAAGCTTAATCGGATGAGGCATGTAGATCAGAAGGTTGCAACCAGAAAGAGAACTGAAGAGGATGGGTAAGTGATGTTTTATCCGTTATGTTCCTGGAGATGTTTCTGGTAACTGCTCGCCCCACTCCCATAAGGACATGAAAACCCTCCGAACATCTGGCGGTTTTTACGCTTTTATTTCTCTCCTTGGTTTTAATTTGTGACGGTAAGGTGAAGTACTGTTGTGGAAATTCAAAGGACTCACTCCTAAGTCTCCAGAGAAGTTCCTCAGGAAATATCTCAGCATTCTGATATTTGACCTGAGACCACAGCCGCCCGTTTGAGCTCACAAACGGGGGATGCAATTTTTATGATGTTTCTTAACGTTACCTTTTTTAATCTTTTGTTATATGGAGGAAGTGGGGGGGCTGTCACTGTTGAGAACGACATGGGGCGGGTTAGGGCATCAAATTTGTTTTTATTTAGTTTCTTCTTTTTTTTTTTTTTTATTTACTCCACTGTAAATATTTTTTTTATTTCATTGTAAAGCCAAATGTGGTTATTGTAAAGGTGTAAAGTAGAAAAATGCATACTAATGACTATAGAGTGTTGAAGCAGGAGTAATAAAGATGGAGACGAGTGACTGTTGCTGTGCCAGCTGGGTCATCTAACAGGTGTGAGGGAGTTGAGTGCTACAGTAAAACCTCTAAGATCAATAAAGTCGCTTTTATCTGCTTTCCAACTTTAATCCATTCATGATTATTTACTTTTGTTTTTTTAAACCTGGAATCTTCTCACCTTTGGACTGCTTATTTCTTAAACAATATTTCAAACTTTCATTATTCCTGTCGCAGAAAAATGTTTATTTAATGCTGTTCTTCATTATCTCCTCACCAACTTTTGACATTAGTTGCGTCTGATGGTGTGTGTGTAAATGTGTATGGACTGTGTGCACTGTGTATAGTTCTCATTGTACAGGCCACCATGACCCAGTGGCATCGCAGTTGTAGATTTAAGGATGAGGCGAGAGGTATTCACATTGTCTATTGTGTACTGATATCTTGTACAGTTCTTTAACACTATTTACAGTATTTGTGTATATTTTATGAAGTAATAAAAATGGATAACATTGCTGAAAGAGCTCTTTTTGTTTGTCTTTTATGAATGAATGAGCTGGATGTTAGACCATTTTTAGTTTTGAAAATGATGGAATTTGTTGAAATATTTTCAGGAATTGAAAATAGGTGGGGGGTTGAAGGTCGCTTGTATCCTGCAGTCTTTAGTCTCTCTCTGTAATTCAGTCTCCATTTATCTTCCTGTCTTTGCATCCATTTGTCAATTATACAGCCGCCTTCTACCTGTTATCTATCAATGCATCCCTTTTGCTTTTTTATATTTCTTTACCATCCGTCCATCAAATCGTCGACCATCCATATCTACCAACCATCTCTCATATTTGCCCATCTATTCCTATGCACTTCATCTATCAGCTCTTTTTTTTACGATCAGGTTTTGCAAGTTACCTATCTAAAGCATGACGTTACCCCAATTTAGCCTCATTACACTGGCTCCCTGTGCATTTTAGCATTTATTTTAAAGTTTTTTTTTTTTCGTTTTGAAGTGTCTCCATGGTCTTGCTCCACCTTATCTCTCTGAGTTGCTGCACCTTCATGCTCCCTCCCGTTCACTCAGGTGTGTGTAACTACGTGTAACTTTGTCATGAAAGTTGGTGGGGACACTAGCGGCTGATGGACCTACAGTTACTCGACACAGATGCTTTTAGTAAGGTTTGTATTTTCCAAAAAATAACTAACATATTTATTGAATCTTTTCCTATTGTTGAGAACACAAAAGAACCAAAATACACTATATTTATAGGTTGTTGGACATTAAGAAAGGAAGAAAAACAGCTGATTCTGATGCCAACAGCAATACATCATGCCTCCCTAGTGTGGAAACAACTTCAGTTTCATCATCCTATCGAGAAAAATGTGGATTGATGGATTTTTTTCCCTTTCGTCTACATTATCTTCCTTTTAAAAGCAGCAAAATCAACTTTAGAAATTTGTCCCAAATATTGTTACGTAAGAGGATTAAGGCCACTGAAAAAATAAAAAAATGTTAACTGATTTTTAAATTATATTTCAGTATAGGAGAAAGACAGGATTCTGCCTTTAATCTCACAATTCTGACTTTTTTTCTCTGAATTCTGACTTTTTTTC